GCCCGCCGAGCTGGAGCTTTGCCCCGGCAGCGCTCATCGCCCCCCGGGGGAGCCGGGCGCCGCAGGTAGGGCCGGGGAGCCGGGTTCTTGCCGGGGGCTTCGCTGCCTCTCCCTGCGCGGCGAGGAAACGCCGCTCGGCGCCCTCCGTTCGTGCCTGGCGTGAGCTGAGCGTTCCCGTGGCGCTGGTTGGGTCTGTTGTTCGGTGGTTTCTTTAACTCTTAAGTTAGGCGGGCTCTGACGCGGGTTCCCATTGTTCCCGAGCTCTGGTTTTCGGGAGGTTTCCGACCGTGCCGAGTCGATACCGAAGACGGTTCGGAATATAAAATGCGGAGCCTGCAAAACAGAACCCACGGAGACACCGCGGTGAGCCTGGCGGTGCTTGTCATTCTTTCCCTGTTGCTTCCAGGTGCTTGACGACAACACCGCCAAAAAGATGAGCGTTTCCCCACCATGTCTCTCCGTGCAGTAGCCCTGGCCAGCTACGGCCGGACGGAAACCTTCCAGCACCTGCCCCCGAAAACGGTGAGGCCGAGCAGGTACCTCGCGTGTTTCTCGGGGTGGGGAAGCCGACTCATTTCTGCTATTAAAGTGTCTCATTTTTATTTGTGGCAGCGTGTTGAGATATTTTTCCATGCACCTCTGCGGCCGTATTTCTTTATGAGTCCTCTTTCATTTAATGAGCTTTTTTTTAATTTCAGTTTGCTAGCTAAATGCTGAAGGAGCTCTTTCGCAGTCTGGGTTGTAGTTGAAATTGTAGCACCTTGAAAGGAAGTGGAAACCTTTTAAACAAATTGTCTGAACACTGTTTGCTTCTGCTGAGAGATGGGGTGCTGTTTAAATAGATACATTTTTAAGATTTAGCACTTCTAGTATTTATGCTTACTGGTAAAGTATTTGCAGTTCACCCTGGTGACAGCCAGTTGTGATACTTGCATTCTGAGAGGTACAGTCTGTTAATTTATTATGCTAAAAACCCCCCTCATTTAAAAAAAAATGAAACACAATGAATAAAAACGAGTTCCTGTTAGAGCTACTTTATGCAGTAATGCTGACAATCCTACAGGATGGATTCTCTAAATTAGTGCAGGGGGGAAAAAAGCCCAGAGAACAGTCAAATACTGAAGAGTATTTTTCTAAGCACTGGCATAATTAAACACTTAAATGTTCAGTTGAAACAAAATGTTGCTTCTGGCCCAAAATGTTCAGTTGAAAGGGAAGGTCTTTGTGGGTTTTAATTTCTTCTGCTTTCCATGAGCCTGAAGGTTATCTGGGTAGATCTGCTCTCTGAGTCACCTCACTGTCCCATGGGACCACAGGGAGGTCAACACAGGGTGGCAGAGGACAGCACACCTTTGAACTCCCTTCCCTTCATGGGGTCACAGAGGTGTCCTGGGGAGGCATCTCACTGATGTCTGAGTGGGGAGAAGGCACACATACACCTTGATTAAGTGCCTCTTAATGATGTACCCTTCAGAGCAGGGCATCCCTTTGATTTCCCTGGTTTCTATGATGTGCTTGGCAGGTCCATGACACACTTCAGGCAGTGGAGAGGGAGCAGGAAATGAGTGTGTGACCCTCACCAGGAATTTGTGAGCCTGGGGAGGAGACTTGTTGTTTTGTTGTCCTGAGTGTATCTTAACTCCCTAGTTGGAATTAGGCCCTCGATATCTGTGCTAACTAAGCTCCTTGCCCTGGTTCAGCTTTGTGCTGGTGTGGCAATGTGGTAAATCCGGCTTTGGGGTTCAAAATCCCAGGTCGGAAGCATCACGACCACACAAAGCAAAATGCTGATCTGGTGCAACTCTGCTCAGTCAGTTAAAGTGCATTCAAAATTTTTGTCAGCTTACACTGGCAGGCTGTATGCCAGGTCAGGTCTTATCTGTTTGTGTCATTTCATGCTTTGTGCTGGGTCAGCAGGGTTGCTGACGTGAACCACATGTACTATGCTCTATCAACTTAGATGTGATTATGTGACCACACAGTCGTGGCAGCTGGAAGATCAAGCAGCACGTGCATCAGGTGCTTGTGGAGCTGGGGCCTCACAGGTTTAACTCCTATCTTGTATACACTTCCAGCTATCGATTGGTGGTTCCTTGAATTCTTTTCCACTTCACTGCTGTTGTTCTGACAGGTATATGGACACCTGTTCTGACAAATACCTGGATTCAGCATTTTATATTGTATATGCTTTATGGACATGTTTAATTTGGCCCTGGAGAATTTCTTCTGGAGTGAAATGCAAGATGCAGGATTGAGATACCAGTGCTCTTAAGATGGTGGATGCTTCTGGGGAGATTTTCAGACAACCAGAAGTATAGGCAGTGGTTAGGGGACTGTCAGCAGGCCTTATCATGGTGTTCTCCCTGCTGGGATGGCTGTGAGACCAGGGATATAATTACCAGAGTACTGTTGTTTTATAACCAAATTTTCTGCCTGTGTGTTCTTGTTCTAGCTCAACCACGAAAGCCTAAAGGTGACTTTCACTGAGTCAGCATATTCTCCAAATCCCTCAGCCAGGATTAGTTGCCTTGCTCCAACACCTCAAATCTCTGTTCTCCCAGGTATGCCAATTTGTTCTAAAATGCCTCCCTCTGGGGACTTGGCTTGTGCTTATAGTGCTAGCAAAACCTATTGGGGTGTGTGTGTGTGTACTAAACAAGCATAGTCTGGTTGGAGAGGGAACCTTGCTATTGGCTTTGAAGATGAAACAAAGTCAAAGTATATTACACAATTTGGAAGTATGGGGTTTTTTGATTATTTTTTTTTAGATGGTCATTTAGCCATTTTAGTTCTTCTGGCATTTTGAGTGCTCAAGAGTAAAATACTTGAACTGTTCAGCTGATTCTTGGCAGGTTAACTCCTTGTTCATTCAAGAAACAGTTTATCAGATTTTAACAGATTACCATAATTACTTACATGACTATCAGTTGCAAAGCTGAAGTTGAGAAATTTATTTTTTAGCTGGAACTAATCTATTTCTGGTAGTAGCTTCAAGATGTGGGGTTTGTTTTCTCTCTCTTTTTTTTTTTTTTTAAACCTTAACTGGGCAAAAGCATGAGTTAAATATTTAAAACTTGCTCTTTTTTCTCTTACAATCCCTTAAGAGCAAGTATTTAGCAGCTTAAGTCAGCATGATAATATGGTTAGTGCTAGAGATGCTCCATGATGCTGGAGGACTGGAGATGACAAAGAATGAGTGGGGATGGAAAGGCTGTTGGGATGGGCTTTGCACTAGGAGAGCAAAGCAAAGGAGTTAAAGACAGGAAGGCTGAATGTTCTATCTTGAACAGAAGGGATGCTGTCTTCAGTCCAGGTTAAGGTGTTCCTGTGCCACTGAATTGTCAATACTGACCAAGTTGCTTTCTTCTCCCATTTGAAAGGCAGCTAGCTTTTATTTTCCAGTTCCTGCCCTTGCACTGCCATGACTGGCTATGTTGGAAAGGTGTTTCTTTGCAAGTGCAGCCAGTAAAATGTGCAGTTTTACTTCTGTTTTTGCAAGAGCTTTGTCCTGATTGGTAACAGGTGGCTGGTCCCAATCACCGGTTAATTTTGACCTGGCTTTATGAGAGCAGCATTGCTAGCAAATATTGCAGCATAGCTTGTATGTGATGCTCTTAATTTTTTTCAGTTTTGAGGACTGCACTTTGTGTAGACTTGCTTTTTCTGAGTATGTGGAGAATTTTGTTTTGGTTTTGATCCCTTAAGTATTAAATTTTCCTACCATGCAGAGTGCATTCTGGCTTCCAAGTGAGTGATTTGAGAAGTTTATTCTTTTCCATTGAGTTACATCCAAGGAGAGCAACCTCTGGGCAAAGTTTGCAAGACTTGCTGCTTTTTTCACCAGCAATGTTTAACATTCCACATGGTCCTAACTAAGAGTTCTTTGCCCTGGAAATGAATATTCTTGATTGTATCTATTCTTAGAAGTTTACAACTTACTTATCTTCCACAAAGGAGTCAGTTGTTAACTTCATTGCTGTGATGTGGTTGATAGCTTCTTCTTGAACACAGACTTTTGTGTCTCATCTCTCCAGTGCTTGAATGATGGCAGTAACTGTGAAGCTTTTTGTTCAAGGTATAAGACTTCAGTTTACTCTGAATGCTACTGGTTGTGGTGTGCCTACATCACACTTATGTTACCATTTTTGCCACCAAAAGCAGTTTTTCCATTTTCTGTTCAACTTTGGTTTTGCAGCAGATCACGTAGGCAGGCACTACTTCTTAATGACTCGCTGTGACAGAGCTAACTTTCATTATGGCTTCCCTTAAGTGTTGCCACCCCTGTGAATAAGGGACTAAAGGTTACTTCAGCCTTTTCCACTTTAGTAGGAGTGTCTGACTGAAACACAAACACATGACTTTTCATTACCAAGCACGTGTTTATATTTTTTTCTTCCTGTTGTATTAATACTCCCTGTGGTTTTTTTTTTACTGGCAATAGAACCAGTACTTGTACCAGTAACTGTATCACATCCAGTTTTGTAGAACAATGGTGTTTTCAAGCACCCTGACAATCAGTCACCACTGAAGTCTTAATTGTGTTTGGCTAGCAGCAGCATACTTTACTGCTGGTTTATTACCTAGCCTTATCAACAACAGAATTGCTTCCTGCCTGCAGAAAGCACGAAGCTTTCTTGCAGAAAGAAGCAGCAGGGAATGATGTGTGAATACTGCTCTTTCCTGTTTTCTCAGTCACGTAAAAAAATAGCGTGCATTTTATTCACATTGTAAACTAACCTTTTTTAGTGTTGTTTCCTAACCTCTTGGTTTCTTGCCTTTTCTGAATAGATGAATACTCAAGGCCAGCAGTGATTGGACATGCCGGAAGTTTTGGATCCTACCCAGACAGTACTGAAGCTATCAAAGACATTCTCGTGTCTGTTTTAAATGCGTCTGGTTTGAAGCCCTCTCTGGTGCCAGGGCAGACCACGATGCAAAGAGTTGAACATCCGGACAGCGACGTGGAGCGGTGGGAAGAAAGCAGTGACGAGGAGAGCTGTGATGACAGCGACAGTGACTCCGCACATCGCAATGCAGCCTGTACACAAACAGACATTCGGTTCACAAGGCATCGGGCGTGTTGGGACAACACGCTCTGTGATGCCTCTAAACCATCGCTGGATACTTTCTTTCGTCCCCGCTATGCTGATGGGGATCCTGCTGCTTCCCCCTTGAATGGTTTTGCCCTTTCAGATGTGTCCCCTCCGAAGCAGGACTGTTTTACCCAGGTGACATTAACAGGAGGTGTTGTCACATCGGCTGTTGTGCGAAAGGAACGTTATACCTCCCCTGAACGAGATTTAACTTTCACAAGATTTCCTCCTGATTCAACTGTTGGTAAGCCAGCAGATCTGTTGAAATACCCCGATGCTTTGGAGCCTACACCCATCAGCAACAGTGACAGCAATTCTCCGGGTGGACTTTCCCAGTCAGATCCAGCCAATCGAACAGGTAACTTTACAGGTGCATTTTTAAGATTTCTGTGCTAGGAAGGATGATGTAATTGAAGTTGTTGCAGTCCTTGTTTATGTTGGTCATGGGTCACTAGAGAAGTGCTTTTATTCAAAATATAGGAGAGGGGAGGAAGAGAGAGCTTCAAAATAAAGAAGAAGCAGAGGGTTGGACTTGGGGAAATGGGAGACTCTGGCTTGTGGCAGTCTTCTGTCTCATGGTGCAGAAATACTTCTGTAATATTCCGCCTTTGGTAAAATGTAAAAATCACTGAGCTGTGGTCTGTGTAGAACGTTCCCTGGATGAGACTTCCTGCTTTTGATCCTCACCGTTATCCTTCTCTGGAAGGCAGATAGCATGGATCTGGGCATTTGGTAGTGACTCACTGGGGGGTGTGTGCCCCCTGGGACATCTGTGTTCAACATGAGCTGAAGGAGAGGGAGTCCTTCAATTCCAAATCTTGGAGGCAGAGCATTAACATCCATTCTTGTTACAGCTGAATTGGCTTGTGCCACAGCAGGACTGTTTTCCCTCTTCCCTTTCCAAGTGCACCTGCTATCTCAAACACACAGAGCCCCTTCTGGTACAGTTGAGGATCTTTTTGCCCCTCGCCGGTTTCCAACTCTACAGATATCCCACGTGTTGTCCATGGAGAGATGTGGGCTGAGTGCTGCTAGCAAAGTTTAGCCCCCAGTTCCTGCAGCGGGAGGGGGCTCAGGCAGGCCTGGCCCGTGGAGAGGGGCTGTTCAGTCAGGACATCTGGCCCAGTGCCCCAGGGGGGCTGGCAGAGCGGCTGCCCTGGCCTTGGGGCTCTGAGTGCCCCCCTCTGAGTCTCTTCAGGCTTCCTGACCTGTAGACCTGGGCCCCTGCCCCTATGGTGCCACAGCAGAATTCCCTCATGTTTAATACCTACCATTGATACAAACAGCTTTAGCTACAGCAAGGTAAATGTTTTTATTTATGAAGGGTGTAATTGCTGTCTAAGACTTACTCTTCCTAGATACTGAGCCCCAGAAAGATGATGCAACCACACCTATTTTTCTACTGGAAATGAAGGCAGATGGGAGCACTCAGCTTGCTTTTATATCACAAATAAAAATGGCAAAGGCTTTTCTCCCCTGCTTTAGTTAATAATATTCCTAGTGAAGACACTTAATTGAGCCCCACTTCCAAGCTCTGGTACTTTCTAGCCATTCACCCAGAGCTCCTCCGAGGTAGCAGTGAGATCTCAAATAGGCACGTGCTGTTGTAGGACTGGGAGCTTTTAATAGTAATAACTTTGTCATCTGGGCTAGTATGTTGTCAACAGTTAGTACGGTGACGATTATGGTTGTCTCTTCCTGCTGGGTGTTTTGTTGGCCCTGTGTATTTGAGGGGTGCCCATGAGGGAGGAGGAAACCACACCCAGCAGTTGAAGCTGGCTGGGTCCAGTCATGCAGGTTTGGGAAGTTGGCTTCTCTGGAAAACGCAGCATAGGCTCTTGGAGTCAGTGGGGACCACAAGGCACGTGTATAGGAGCAATTAAATCGTGTGTGACTTGATCTTCTGGCATGAGTAGGACGTGTCACAAGCTTGTGTTGGGTCAGTAATCCTGGTAGTTCTCCAGAAAGCAAACAGAAGTAAGGCAGCTAGGTGACTGAATCATAGAATGGTTTGAGTTGGAAGGGACCTTTCAAGATCATCTAATTCCAACTCCCCTGCATTCACGGGGACACCTCACACCGGATCAGCTTACACAAAACCACATCCAGCCTGCCCTTGAACACTTGTAGGGATGGAGTAGCCACAGCTTCCTTGGGCAACCTATGCCAGTGTCTCACCATCCTCACAGTGAAGAATTTATTCCTAATGTCTAATTTAAATCTACCCTCTTTCAGTTTGAAACCATTCCCCCTTGTCCTAGCGCCACAGGAACAGCTTGTAAAAAGTCCCTTCCCAGCTTTCCTGTAACCCCTTCGAATATTTGAAGGCTGCTATAAGGTCTCCCTGGAGCCTTCTCTTGTCCAGGTTGAACAACCCCAACTCTCTCAGCCTGTCTTCGTAGGACAGGTGCTCCAGCCCTTAGATCATCTTTGTGGCCCTCCTCTGTACTTGTCAGCTCCATGTCTTTCTTGTGTTGGGGACTCCAGAACTAGACTCCAGGTGGAGTCTCGCCAGAGCTCAGTAAAGGAGGAGAATTGCCTCCCTTGACCTGTTGGCTGCACTTCTTTTGATGCAGCCCAGGGTACAGTTGGCTTCCCCAAGTCCTTTTCCTCAGGGCTGTTCTCAGTCCATTCTCCAGCCAACCTGTATCTGTTCTTGGGGTTTCCCAAACCCATGTGCAGGACCTTCCTCTTGGCCGTGTTGAACTTGATGAGGTTGGCATAGACCCATCTCTCAAGTGTCTGGATGGCATCTCTTCTGTCCAGCATGTTGACCACACTACACAGCTTGGTGTTAGCAAACTTGCTGAAGGTGCACTCAGTCCGACTGTCCACATTGCTAACAAAGTAGGATCCTAGATTTTGCTAACAATACTACTTAGGGGAGCCAGGATCTTGCTAGACACTGTACAGTGTTGTGGGCTACATCTATATTAGACTTTGTTCTTTTTTTGTACAAAGTGAAAATACCTGCATTTCATTGTTCCTTGTTGCCTTCAGTTATTTACCTCATGGCTGGGTAGCCTGGGGTGACAGGACCTAGGTCTTCTTGTCCCTGCGTTGTGCAGGACTATGAGGATGGGAAAGGAAATGGCAAACTAAAAAAGAAATAAGCTGCCTTATTTGAAGGCAAGAATTACACAAGAGCATCTCCTGACTGGCCTTTCTTTCTCCTGCTATCTTAGAGGTGGTGGTTTCTCAATTTTGTTTCTTGCAGGAGAATTGGTGAGGAATGCACAAGAGATAAGCGAATCACATCACATTACTTGAATAAGAATTTTTTTTTCAGTGGCATTTTTCTGCTCATCTGATGAGAATCCTGGAAGGACTTACTCATATTTTTCAGTGCAATTCTCAGGTGTCCTCATGCAGTCTTCTGAAAAGGCTCTGTCATTGTTAATGAAGAGCCTGTCACTCAATTAGGTATTTTCAGGGGGCTTTATTGTGGCTGCTGTGTCACTGCAGTTCACAGTGTTTGTTCTTGCTTTTAACCTCGATGTACATCAAGGTCACTTCCTTCTGTGGCTCTTGAGGTCTCTTTTCCCAGCCCCAGCAGCCTCTAGGCAACAGTGTTCAGAAGCAGGAGGATAACCAGATTATTTTTTGCACCAGATCCAGACTTACATCCTGTTCCTGGATGTGCTGGGCTCCTTCCCTAGCCTCTTTCATCATTTTCACTTAAAGATGCAAGTGGAATGGAAGAGAAAAAGCTGCCATTGGATTTCAAAATAACATTTAATGTTCCTTGCATCTTACATTTTAAAGAAGAAAAGAACTTTCCCGTTTCCTTATTTTTGCTTATTATTTCTAGTTCAGAGAGTAATGTTTTATGATCTTAACTGTTGAGGAATAAGTTTTTATTCTTCTGTAGAACCTTTAGCACTTACCTGTACTCCCTGCACACTGCTTATCTGGTAAGATGAAACACCAGATAGGCATGAAAATAACTTAATGGCTTTGCAGTGGTTAAATCTGTTTCAAATAGTCAGTTTGCTGGCCTTTCCATTTTTCTCCATGGTACACAGAATGGGAGTATTAATAATTCTCTACATAAACACGATGTCTGTCTCGCTACGCTGGAGCACAGTATTGACTTTCTAGCCTGATGTCATCGATGCTCAGGGCAGCGTAGCAGGGTTTCTATAAATAAGGCAATATAAAGAATCTAAACTAAGCCTGAGAGTTCACTGCCCTTTAGTTGGAGAAAATATTTTCAGAAATTATTCTCAGACTTTGTGGGACCTATTTATCCTTTCTGTGACTTCTAAAAAAATTAAACGGTGGCTTTTTTTTTTAATTAAAAAGAGCCTTTGATTAACCTTCTTGTCTGCACTGATTTTAAATAGCATGTGTGGTGGTAGCATTTAGATATGGTATATTCTATCCTGTAAACATCACTGCAGCAAACCAGAGGAATTGCTTGGTTAAAAGGTCAAAGAAGAGGTAGTAAACAACCACCAGGCAGTTTAAAAAACAGGTGTCATTTCCTTTCGTACTCATTAGTGTGTACATCCACAGACATTATGTATAATCTTTGTCATCCTTCCAGCAGATTTATTGTAGCAGTGGTTGTGGGCTCTTGAAAACAAAACATGAGGGCATGATCTCACACCTTTAGTTCTCTGGGGAAGATGATTATGACTTTATATATGTATTAAAGGCAATCCAGGGTACAGACTATGTCTGTAGAAAACCAGACCATACTTTGCTGGGTAGTGAAAAGTTCTTAATGGGAAAAAGAATTTAATTTAGTTTCTTATGCTCGTCATACTTGACAGCAAATGCCAGGAAAGCAGAACTGCTATTCTGGGAAGCAGGGAGTACTGCAGCTAATGCATCCACCCCAGCTTTACAGATTACCATGCAGTATGGGCTCCATTTGGAAATAAGAGGGAGATTTCTTCCAGGTATGGAAACATAACAGCAAAGTTATTTTCAAATTTGCTTCAGTCACACAATACCTGCAGTGATTCAGGGGATCTTTTAAGGCTGATGCATCTCTGCAGGCTCAGACAGCAGTGAGATTTCTTTTTTTTTTTCCAGCTATTGTGAGTGAGCAGAGCACAGTGTTAGCTGACTGTGTTGTGAACTGCAGAGCATCACTAATACCAGCTTCAGGTTCTGAGGTTGTCACCAGTGGCCCAGGCTGTTGCTGGGAGAGAACTATTGTTGAGAGCACCGTGGTGCTTGTCACCACACAGCATTTAAACTCTGCTTCTCTGCTAGTTGATACTCATGTTTCAGCTTGTTGGCGTAGTTCATATGCCAGCATATTCCTCACATTTCCTCTCCTTTTCCTTAGCTTCCCTCATAACCTACAGTCTCAATGGATGGTCAGTTTTGGGAAAGAAAGTTTGCTTTGCTTTGCTTTCTGGAAGTCACTCTGCACACATCCTGGGAGCTACAAAGACAGAAATAACTTATAAAAGCTCTTGTTACACCCACAGGTTCTACTTCTCCTTTGAACATAAGTGCTATACCCTTGAATCGTTCATTGCAAGATATTTGCATGCTTCCAGAAGATGTGGAGAAGGTGAGGACAACAAAGTCTGTTGTCATAATGTGTTTTCCATTTTATAGTGGCAAAAGCAAATGACAGGAGGCATTTCCCAATACTTTCTGATAGAAGGACTTGCCTTTACAAATATTGTATTTTCCCTCTTCCTCCCCTCTGTGAGTGAACATTCAAACCTAAAATGCTTATTTCTTAATTTAGTTTTACTCTTAATCCATTCATTAAGTATTTTAATTATATATAAAGAACGGAAATGTTTTAAAGCACTATACATTTCTGCTTTTCATTCCATCATTTTGCTGCACGTTACTTGATACCAAACTTGAAGATTAGCATAGTCACTTTAAAGTTACATAAGAATATATTACATAGAATTGTGGCATTTGCATGTGTATGAATGGGATTTGCCTCATGCTTTTATCAGGAGGTAGGGAGAGTTTGTGCTTATGATGAGCATGTGAGATTGCTGTAAAAGAATTACAATATGAATAACAATAACAGTAAGTGTGACATCTGCAGTAACTTAAGCAGTTTATCATGGTTTCTAATAGTTGCATAAGGGGCCCAAACAGTCTCAGGTATGTTGCCAGATTGAGTTTATAAACACAGATAAAGATGAAAAGATAATGTGGTCACACGTAACTCTGTGCTAAGTTATAGTTTTTTTCTAACAGTTGGAAAAGAGGGGTTAATATTATAATTACTTATTGCAATGAGTAGGATTTAATACAAAAGAGCTTTAAAAGTGTGCACAGAAAAGGAGATTTTTAAAATATTTTTTATTTCTGGACTATGAATATGCACATGGTCCCATGTCATGGGCCCAAGAGGTGCACAGCACTGGCTTTACTGGAGTGGCAAGTTCTGAATTTGTTTTGGAGCTCTTACTGTCCTTAAGGTGCCTTTAAAAACAAACAAATAAACAAAAACATAAACACAAAAACCACACAATAAATCTCATGCCAAAATCAAGCAAACTTGTGAACTAGCATTTCATTTTTTTTGTGAAAGATGTTTCAGAAAGGACATCGCTTCTCTGTCTGTAATGTGGGAGCTAAAACCAAAGTAAGTTGCTTTCAGTCATCAGGAGACCAGTTAGTAGATATCTGAATGAGAAACCACAGTGTGAGAACTACTGAGTGAAGCAAGATGGCATCAGCTGCTTCCTCTGTGCAGATGATTGGTGCTGATGTGATAACAGCTTAAAAGACATGAGAAGCTCAGCCTGTTATGACTGAGTCTGCCTTGTAAAAAACCTAACTAAACCCAGACCAAAAACCAAAACATTTTTAGGTTGTGAAATAATCTCTTTGAAATTTAGGAGACTAAAAACCAAGGTACTTGCAGTGTCAGCAGGTCTTCAGAGTTGTAGTTTTGTGCCAGGAAGGAGGTGGGCCAGATGATTTAAAGGGACTGTCCACTAATGTGAGTGAGAGGAAGAGAAATGAGAAGGTTGGTGTGTCACGGCTGATTTGGCACTGCTTCCTAGGGTGATGGCCCTAGTAGGAGGCAGAGCTGAAAGCTGATAGTCATGCTGAGTACAGGAGTGCCTGTATCTTGTTCCATCTTTTTGCACCCCTCAGATATGCTCTTTAATTGTTTTTATGAGCAGGACATGATAATGTGCTGTGCTCTGCCACGAACTGGGGGTTAACCACTGCCACACAGGCTTTTTGAATCCTCAGAGTAGATGTCCTCTTCATCTCCCCAAAGCAAAAAGGCTGTTTAATTCTATCCTTTACTAATGGTGCGTCCTGAAGTTCACTCTAAGTTGTCTCTGGGGCACCAAGCAAGTGGTGTTTAATCAGTGTTAAGGAAAAGATAACAGTCTGTTCAAACATCCACAGGGACTTGTGGGGTCTTTCTAACACTGAGATTGATCTCTCTTAAATGCATATGTCTGTGGACAATAAGAAAGCAGTGATGTCTCATGTACTCCTTACAACTTAGGTATTTCTAAACACTGATATTTTTCTTCATACTTCCCATACAGGTTGAAGGAAATGTCATGAATGCTTATGCAAGTGGTACAATTTTCTGAGCACAAGCCAATTTTTAGAAAGCTTTAACTATTCTGCATTCAAAATCTCCAGTCTTGGCTATTGCTGTGGTTGTTTAGACCAAGGTTTAGCCTTGCACAACAAAAACATAGGCAGTTGAGGGGCGAAGGGGAGAGTATCCTGGGCATCTTATGAGTGTCAACCCCCCCACCTGAGAGCACCTAGCCCTTAATGATGCATCCACTTTTGAGCTGAGCTTGGCCTAGGAGGATGTGCCCAGGCCAGCAGCAGCAGTGCAGGTAGGGCTGGTGGGATGCTCTGTTAGGCCACAGGAGATGGGGCATACAGCAGTGATATTGGGGCAGCAAGCCCCAAGTTTGTCTGGATGTCAGAGTGGCAGTAAAGGTGGCTTTAAAAATTCCCTTTTCCCAGAGGATGGGTGACCCAGGCAGGCAAGATGGTAAGGGGCACCACGGGGAGGGCTTGTGTTTGATGTGGAAATGCCACAATGAAGCTTTGAAGCTACTGCCTTTTATTTAAGGCAGTGTGAACACCGGAGGAGCTGGGTTTCCACTTCCCCTTGTTACAGACTTTCTATGCAACCTTGAGTTGAGGATGTAATCTTACCTCACTGGCTATTGCCTGCTTCACTGCCTCAACTCCTAACACATGAAAGCATTTGACTAGCTTCTGTAGTACCCATCATCTGAAGATACACAGTTTCTTCAAAACCTGCCTCTTCCACCCCCATCCAAGTTAGTGTGTGTGCAAAACTGCTTGTACAGACTTAAATCCTATTAAATAGGTTAGCTGGTGTCACACTTGCATGCTACATAGTGCAGTGTAACTAGAAGACTGTCTCTAAAATTCATAAATATTTGTTGGTTAGACATGTAATCAAGTTTGGTTTTATCTAGTAGATGGGTAAGATAAAAGAGTATGTTTTAATCAAAGGTGAGACAATTATCTGGGCAGTTGCCTTTTGCATGCTGTCTCTGAATTGTCCTTGGGGTATTTTTTTTGTGTTCAAATAAAAGGTGAGATAGCTGTACATTTTCACTTCTTGCTTTGAGAAAGTACAGGGGGATAATGACATATTTCACTTCCATCTTCTGTAAATGTCAGATATGCTGTGTACTAATGAGTGTTCCAATCTTGCATCCAGGAAAACGCACACTTTTTAGTTGCGGATATGATTATAGCATCGCTAGAAAAAATGAAATGTAATATCCTGAGCCAACAAGCAGAGTCCTGGGGTGTGGAAGAAACAAGTGGATCAGATGGCAGCTATAACACTGATTTAGAATTCTCTTCTTACCCTGGGGTGAAAAAGTCTGATTCTTCTGTTGCCTCTTCGGACAGTGGTTATGAAGGCAAGTTACTTAGTCTATAATGCAAACTTTTCTGACAGCCTTTACTGTTTAGTTTTGTGCAAGAAAATACTAAATTGATTTACGCATTGCTTGGAACCACATCCTCTGTTACCTTCTCTGAAACTCTCGAGAGCTGTCTTCCCTGAGGATGATTACGCCATAAGTGTTTTTCCTGTAGGTCAGATTCTTTTGAATGCTCACATTTGTGTTTTCTTTATTATAATTAATGGTGGGTTTATTTTTTTACATGAAAAAGAACATGTAAGGTTCAAGTGTCACATGCCAAGCACGCCTCTCTGTAGAGCGTGCCTGTTTTGGGCAGTTTTTTGTGTGTTTAAATACTTTTTTGCAGGAATTAAAGCCTGGCTTTTTCCTTCTGTGCTTACTTCTGCAGTATGCAGATCAGGCTATGTAATTGATTTGAGTGAAGCTGCCCAGAGTATTAATTCACATATAGTTTGAGGCAAGATAACAAATGCTCCTGGAACTGTAATCCTTGAGTCAGCACGTGCATTTTTAAGAAGATTTTAGACTCTTGAGTAATACGGATCTTGGGGATGGAGCTTAAGTCTGAAGTCCAAATGACATAACTTGTGGGGAAAAATTAATTGTGTGCTTGCATGTGAGAAGAGGAAGGACCACTGATTATATAAACCCTTCTGTTTTAGTCTTTAGAATCTTCTTGCTAAGAAACTGAGGGACATACTGTATGACAGACTCCCAAGAATTGTCTTTCTGTGTGTGTAAAAATAAATAAGTAGCGTTGCTCTGTAAATACAGGCTGTATGCTAAAGTGTTGGTAAGCAAAGAAAACTCAAAATATTATTGCAGCTACTCTACAAATGCTGCGGAAGTTCAACTGGTATTGTCTTTCCTGGATAGGCTGTGCTCTGTTGCCTGTCAGCTCCCTGGTGCATCTACCATCACATCATGAAGTTACCAGATTTCACTGCCACAGTGACTCAGAGGATGAATATGTAATTATTGGTAAGACTCTAAAATTATAATTGCAGAAACATCTCTGTTGTTCAGCAGAATCTGTTGGTCATTTGGAAAATCTTTTGGCTTAGTAGGTGTTATCAGAGAAAAAATAATATGAGAAAATGGAAAGGGCAATGTAGCATGACTCTTAAGAACACATCAAGAAATGCCAGGGTGATACACAATTTCCTATCTAAAAAATTAGCTGTTTTGAGGGCCTGAAATTATGCCTAAGGATTAAACCAAATGGATGTGGGTGAACAGCGTAGCAGCATTGTTTGAGAGAATTTAGGACATGATCACTTCCTAATTAAAGACGGTAATGAGGTTTTAGGCAGCCCTCCTGCTTCAGGACTAGAGCAGACTGTCCCCTTGTAGTCACCAGTGTTCTGCTTCTCTTCAGGATACCCTGAGTTTCGTTGGTTACCACCTCTTTTTTTACATACACAGAAATAGAAACTCTTAAAAGTAGTCTGAGCAACATGGAATGGTTAAAGTTGGAAGGGACCTTAAAGATCATCAGGTTCCAACCCCCCTGCATGGACAGGGACACCTCACACTAGACTGGGCTGCACAAGTCTCATCCAACCTGGCCTTAAACACCTCCCAGGAGGGGCTTCTACAACCTTCCCAGGCAGCCTATTCCAGCACCTTACTACCCTCATGGTGAAGAATTTCTTCCTGATGTCTAACTGAAATCTCCCCTCTTTCAGTTTAAAACAATCATCCCTTGTCCTATCAGTGCCCTCTCTGGTGAGAAGCCCCTCCCCACCTTTCCTGTAGCCCCTTCAGGTACCGGAAAGCCACTTTAAAGTCTCCCCAGAGCCTTCTCTTCTCCAGGCTCAATAGCTTTAACTCCCTCAGCCTGCATAAAAATATGCATAGCCAAAACTAATGCTACCAATGTGAACACTTTGTGTTATCATATTTTGTCTATATAAGAGTGAAGTGTGTATTTCGATTCCATTAATCTCACCTGTTACTAACCTGTTATAGCATTAGCTGGTGCGTCTCTGATAGGTGTTTCCAAATAGCTGTCAGTGTCCAAAAAAATTAATATTCTGTATGCTACTGTTTACTATATTATTCTATTTACTGTGTATATATTTATATATTTGCTGTATTACTGTCTAGTGCCTTCTGGCTAGACCTGGACTCGCAGGCACTTAGTCTCTCCTTATTGATTCCCTTGCTCTTGAAGGAACAGTGTTGGTGACAAAATGATGCATAGTTGTTAGGGAGTACTCTTCCTCAGCAGATGTCAAGAGATCTGCAGAGAAGATGAGTCTCCTTATGCCTGTTTTACAGCTGAGGTTATTTCCCACATCCACAAAGGGTGTTGTAAAGATGAATATATTTGAAACTGACACCGTGGTTAACACAGAAGGTAGATCTAAAACAGTGCTGAGTAACAGAAGCTTTGTTTCTTAGATGGCTTGATAAAATTTTCTCCTTTACCACAGAACTTGAAGACCTTGAAAATCTGTCTGTCTCCCCAGATGAAAGGTAATGCTGTGTGTCTTTAGTGTAATAGCCCGGTGGCACTACCTTTTGTGCTGGACCAGCTTTCTGATGACTCTTCTGGCTGGGGCGGGGAAAGGTGTGGGAGTGGTAAATTTGGCCCTCCCAAGGAAGGAGAAGGAATGTTGCTTGACAGCACATGTCTGTGGCACTTGGCTTAACAGTGCATTTCTCTCTCTCCTCTAGGAGTCTCGCTGGAGGGTGGTGGCTGTGGCTCTGTGAGGGCCTGGGTGTATCAAAGCAAGGGCATAGGAATGAAGGGGTGGGAGAAAACTTTCCAGGGATGCAGAAGAGGCAGCAGAGCTACTGATGACACCCTGCCATTTTTCACAGTCTATATTGCTTAACTTTCAGATCGCCTTTTGAACAAGGCAGCAATTCTGCTGAAGCAACAGCCCAGGAGTTGTGCAGAGCTTTCAGAAAACGCTGGTTGCAGACAGATTCTGCAGTCCAACTGTCTGGTTGCCTGAGCTCATCTAAGCAGAGAGTGAGTCTGAGCTGAGACCAGCAGCTCTTTATTCAGTTTTCCGAATAATCATTATCTTACTGCAGCTACTTCACTGTTAGGGAGAGGGGAAGCTGCATTAAAAAAAAAATATTAAAAATGAAGATGAGCACTTCCAATTTTTTTAATACTCTTTAGATTAATTTTTAGAAAATTTCTTCTCTCTTCAGCAATTATCAGCACACATAAGATGTGCAGTTGTGAACAATCAATGTACTTCCTTCTGGGACTGATATGAAGGAGTTTTAACTGAGGGGGAACTACATGCAGATTAAAACTTTAAAATCCTAGAGTATAAAGGTAAATGTTTCACAGCATGTAACATATATCCAGTTCATCCTCATGAGTTTCTTTCCCAATAGTCTGTGCTGAAAGAAGAGATTCCAAGAGAGCTTGAGTCCAGTTTGAATCTGGCTGAAGAAATAAAGATCATATCCAAATTAAGAGGATCTTCTGGCTGGACCCCACCAAGATCGCAGATTATTTTTAACATTCACCCTTCAGCCAAGTAAGTCTAAGGGATCTGAGCGCTGTTGTTTAGAGAGCAGTTCCAGGGGAAAGGTCTTGGGGGTGGTAGTAGATGAGAAGCTCGACATGAGCTGCCAGTGTGTGCTGGAGCCCAGAGAGCAACTGCATCCTGGGCTGCATCAAAAGAAGTGTGGCCAGCAGGGCCAGGGAGGTGATTCTGCTCCTCTGCTCTGCTCTGGTGAGACCCCACCTGGAGTGCTGTGCACAGTTCTGGTGTCCTCAGCACAGGAAGGACATGGAGCTGTTGGAGAGGGTCCAGAGAAGGGCCACCAAGATGATCAGAGGGCTGGAGCACCTCTGCTATGAAGACAGGCTGAGAGAGTTGAGGCTTTTCAGCCTAGAGAAGAGAAGGCTCTTGGCACCTTATAGCAGCCTTCCAGTACGTGAAGGAGGCCTACAGGAAAGCTGGAGAGGGGCTTTTTATCAGAGAGAGCAGTGGTAGGGCAAGTGGAAATGGTTTTAAAGAGGGAAGATGTAGGTTAGACAGCAGGAGGAAATTCTTCACCACAAAGGTAGTAAGGCACTGAAACAGGTTGCCCAGGGAGGTTGGGGTGCTCCATTCGTGGAGGTGTTCAAGGCCAGGTTGGATGAGGCTTGTGCAGCCTGGTCTAGTGTGAGGTGTCCCTGCTCATAGCAGGGAGCTTGGGACCTGATGATCTTGAAGGTCCCTTCCAACCTTAACCATCCTATGCTTTGCCTAAAACCTGATGAAGCTGATGGAAGGAGCCTGAGTGGGTTTAACAGAACCTAAGATTAGAGCTCCTGCATGGTGCAGCCTTCTGCAGTGTCTGTCACCAGCTTCTCTAGAAAGCAGTTGGCATCTTTTTCTCGCTCTGTTGGTACACCTGGATTAATGTGACGTGTGGTTTTACATGTGATAATACAGGTAGTGTTATGGTGGCAGCATGCTGAGCTGGACTCTGAAAAATTCATTTTGTGACAATACTTGAAGTAATTTCTTAAGAATTTTTCT